TTTAATAATAAAAAGAATTCATTACCAATTCTCTCACCTTTAGTGAGAGGTGTTGCTGTGCCGGTGTTCTGCAGAACGAAGAGCAACAAAAGAACACACGATACTTTGGCCAACATAGTTCCTGAGGAGAAACGTCTGATACCGATTAGTTTTGCCCGAAGACTGGAATTGAGCTGAGATTTAATTGCTTTAAGACGTCTCTATATTGATTAATTACAGATAAACATCCGATATAAAACAAATTTGTAATTGAAGTATTTGGATTAGGTTAGATTCTACACAACAATACTTTCGTCCTGATAGAAGTTCTTTGTTGCAAGTATTCTTTATTTTGTAATAAAAATAAAGTTGCAATAGATAAGATATAGAGCAGTTAGTATAATAGAAATATAATAGATACGATTTAAATTGTGCATCATAAGACAGTCGCAGTAGATAAGATATGCACTGAATCATAGCTAATACAGTAAGTTCTACCGTATTGTTCCCTCTATTCTTTTCTCGAATTGTCTACGTGATTAAAGTCAGCAAATTGTAATAATAGAATAATCTATTTTGTTTAACTGCAATTTTTACTGTTCGAAAACTTTTTGAACGTATTGGTGAGATTTTTTTCTATTAAAATGACACTAAACTATATAATTTGGATCATATACATTTAAGTACTTTACTTTCTTTATTTTTATGAAAAGTTAAATTGAAGGATATGTACATTTAAAATGTACTATTATAGTTGCAGTGTTCTTATTTATGACTTAATTCTTTAAAATTCTGATTGTTTAAATTTTATTCTTATTTTATCTTGTTTACTCTGCGAACAAAATTTTGAAAGATGTATATAAATTATATTACAGAACCTTCAATTATAAAGGAAATATCATTTTGTTCAAAAAGATACGAAAAGGTATAAAGAATTAAAAAACTAAATTACTAAAAATACACCTCTTCTAAAACTGTCTCTCAAACAGTACTTATGTCTATTTTCAAATTGTCCACCGGATGCTATATCTATTTTCGCAATTGCCTAGCTGAACAATTAAAAAAAGTAGCCGATTCGTAACTACCGAACGTGGGTACTACATACAGAGTGTTTGGAAATTGTTGTGTACAAATGATATGGAATGGCTACTATCACTACCCCTGAACCGGTACAATTACTAATTAATATTAAATAAATAAATTAGATTAGAAATAATATTAATCCAACTTAATTGGGAACTTGGAACGATGATTCAACATTAATTTGGGACAAATTGGTAGGATTTAATTAGAAATACTATTATTAGATTAATGTTCAAACTTATCAATTAAAAATGAAGTATTAACCGTTACTTCATGCTCGTATATGATCAAAATCTTTATTATTATTTGAGGTTTTGTCTAAATACAATAACTTTATTGTAGCATTATGAGTAGACTTTCGTACAAATGTCTCATGAAATAAAACTCTCTGCCTAGGATTCACAGGGGGTCTTTAAAATCTTCATACCATTTCAGTATCACACACGGAATTATTGATAATTATTTAATACATTGCGTACCGGTAACGAGAAATCTTGTTTTTATATAAAGACAATTAGCTATGCAACTTCGCTAATTACCACAGCATTGAAAAAAATATAAAATTTAATTCGAATTGATTATCTATTTAAAATATATTACACAACAATATGATACCTGAGTTTTCCAATGTATAATGATATAAGGTGACCTCAATGAAAATTGCCATCCGCACAATTCAGTTTTCAGAAAATTAGCCGGTACGCAATGTGTTAATTTGAGCTTACTAGTAGGAATAAAAAATGCTGTATACTTCATTCCTGTTATCTGTATTTAGTATGATATTAGAACATGCATATAATGCTGCCCGTTTTGGAGCGATTGTTTTCGAGTAACAGAGAAACAAAGTTTTTCTATTTCACCAGAGAGGATAAGAGAACTTTAAAAGACAAAGATTTTTTAAATGATCCACGTGTATTAACCCCTTGCTCTATGATTTATTTCTCAACTATGATCGATACAACTACTTTGCTATTAATTATTCATTGAAACAACAGAAAAATTTTATACATGTTCTAGGTTTATGTTTCTTCTAAAGTATAATTATTGATAACAGACGAATAATGTTTAATTCAAATTCAAAAGAATTGAGTAATATATATGTAGGATTGGGACACCGTAGCAGACTTTTAATATTAATAAAAGTTTATTAACTAAATAATCAAGGAATAAAAAGAGATGTACATCTACCGATGTTCGCTAAAGATTACTTTAGCTACTGTCTTCTGTCATACTGTCCTGCAGCTCAACTCGCGTGCACTTTTAACAGTCATCCCTAATCATTCTGTCCTTCTCTTCACAAACATCCCTTCTCACTTGCACCCTGTCCCTTGCATTCATAGCTAGCATTTTCGCAGTCATGTATACACTTTCCAAATCACGTCAAACATTCTCCCTTCAGCCACTCGAGATCATCCTGTCGGCAATCATACTTTCCCCAAACATACCGACGCCACCCCGTCGCAAGATGACACCAGTCATACGCTCGAACAGTCGTCCATTCATACCTTAAGAACTAATTGTAAGCACTACAATGTAGGAATTCGTCGCGACTGATTGACAGACCCTTGTTCAATACTATTTCAAATTTTCACCGCGAGTCTGACACGTTATTATAGGGCAAGGGGTTAATAATCACGTTAAACGTCAAGTATTAAATAATAAATAGGAAACATTTAATATTGAACACAAAAATATTTCACCTTTACTGATTCGAATAACGTTATCAATAATACCGGAAAGCCAAAGAACAAAAGAATGAAACATTTATTACCTACTGCATACCTGAAATATTTCTTTTCTTCAGCATTGTAATACGCTTTAGGAAAAATCAAACAAGAGAGGAGATTTTTGTACATTCTGTTTATTTTTCATAACACATTTCAAGCATAATGATGTCAACAGCCATACCATTTTTCTCTTGAGTCATTACCAGGTGTCCATGATTAAAGATCTCGATGCCGATTCGACGTCTGTGTTTCGAAATCAAGGGCGACATCGCAAAGAAACCAAACCGAAAGCTCATCGATATTAAAAGTCCTCAAAAGGCAAATATCTCGGACGCGACGCTTTTAAAAGTACCGTTCATTTGTCCCAACGTTACGCTTGACCTTTGACAGGGTTCATAGTGTTTTCCAGGGACAAATGCTTCTGTAAACATCGTCAAGCCTCGTGCGAGACAAATATTAAGCTTCGTTCGTGTGTTCCCTCTATCATGTTCGATGAATTAAAAACTTTCCACGATTCGGATTCGTATCGTTCGTTTTCCTCTAAAGTAAGTCGCAACGAGTTAGCAAAATCTACGCATCTAATTACCGATCGTTCGATCCGACCGCAGTGACAAATCATAATCTAGCAACCAGTACTTAGTCAGTTTCGTGTTTACCGCGTTCTCACGATACATCGACGGGTGTCCTAACGGCAATTTGACACGTTGCCGTGTATCATATGCCGTTGGCAATAACATTTCCAAGATCTAATGCTTAACGTCATCGTAGTAGATTTAAATACATGGTAACTCCTTCGTTCGGTAACAAATGCAGGGCACACAAAGACCTAAAGCCAGAGCGATGACTTCGGAACGACGGAGTGTTCCGACTGATCTCGGCTCGCTAAGTTCAGGTCCTCGTGATCCACGCGATAAAACACCATCGATGGACGCAGGATGGGATACTTGCGTCGCGACATAAACGGCTGACAACGTCTTATGACATTACGCGGCAGCGGACCTTACTATAAGGCGCTTTCCTTCGCTACACTTTTCTAAACAACATTTTTTTGTTTTTTCGTTTACGTTTTATTATCACGTTCGGTTAGCTTCCCTTGATGAATCTCTCTTCCCTTTACACAGAAAGCAATTAGGGTACGAAGAGTAGATGCGGCCGTACGTGTACGAGTGGCATTTTCTATGTATTAACGAGTCCGTTGCTGTCTTTCTTTACCTCAACGCTACGTCGTGATGCTCTTTAATCTATAAGGATCGACAATCTTGTGTCTCGACAAAGGAAGTTGATGTCACTCGATGACCATGTGTACAGTGTATCAAATATATTCGTTCGTTTCGTCGGCTGTTCTCCTCTCGGAGCTTTCTTGATTTAGTGTATCCCCTTTGTTTTTCTTTCTTTTGGTTCTCTTGCGGATTTGTCACGTATATAACTGTCCATATCGATAACAGATCAATGTTCAACGGAAAATGAACGACTCTCAACGCGGGTATATAATATGGGACAACCTTTAAATATTTTATACATACACGTATCGTCTGGTATTCAACGAATAATCATATAACGAGTGTGCATGCATATGCAGGGTGCGGTTAGAACTATGATACGGGAGGCGGGAGGTGATTCCTTATGCAAACGTAAACCAACAGTGTGGAAAAGTGTCTACGGCTTCAGCCGAACCGTCGTTTTCGAGGAAGTCAATTTTGAAGATCCGCTCTGCGTACTGTGTTTTATTTACATAATTTCGAAAATGTCAATCGAGTAGCGTAAAACATTAATTACGTACTTGGAAACTTAATCAACCGAAACAGCTTTAACAACAACAAGGGTCAATAGTTCCTTAATTAGTAAGAGAAAATATCGTTGACAAAATTCATGTTCCCTTAAAGCACAGAACGGACGAAAGTCGTGCACGCAATTGCACACGGATACGCATTAGAGTTTTCGGATCGTCAAAGTCGATCGTCTCGGAAACAAAGAGTCCCGAGTGAGAAGAACCGTGTACTGAACACCTTCGATTTATTGTTGTAAAAGAAACCAGCCTTCGCTCGCCGGTAGCACAGCTTCGGCCGCATCCTGCATACGTTACAATATACGAATCTCATTTAAACATATTCACTAGGATTAACCGTCTAGGTTAGGACAATATTTTCACAATCATCTGTTCGTCGTTAGCGTTCACTTTCTTCCCCCGACGCGTTGCCTCGAGTTCCGTCGAAACTTTCCTAATAATTATCGATTACTCGGAAACTCTATCTGCGGTAGTAACGCCTCACGTGTATTTATAATATCGTAATTAATCACGATAATACATATATTCATCGCATCCGATATACGTATACATACCGCGCGCACGTGTACACGCGTGCATCGTAACGCGTACGACACGCGTATCATGTAACATAACGCGTGCATATATATACATATCATCGACGCCTTACATGTACTGCACGTATAATCTCAATATATCTTTTAAATATATTTTACAACATACAGTTCTGAGATACTTTGTTTCTTTTCAACAAAATTGTTCATCTACGCTCATACGCATACGTCTCACGTTCATACTTAAAGCGCTAATTGAGTCAACAATTATCACACAGGAAACATCGTTCCAGAGTTAGTGTTCTGGAAAATGAAAAGTATAGCTTGCGGGATAGTGGAGTGGCTCGACCGAGTACTTGGACCAGTTCGGACACAACGGTTGCCTAGCGCTTTTACCAGCTTTCTATTACAGTTCCTCTCGATTTCGCCCGGCCGATCTCGAAAAGCGAACGCTCTACGCGGCGACCGAAGAAACTTCAAGCATGGTTACCCTATTACAATACTGAGTCTGATTCGATGACTAGTTTTCTTTTTCGTCTTCCCTTCGGTACCAGACTTTCTCTTCCCTATCCCCCAATCCCCCCCACTGTCTTTCTCAATCGACGCTCATCCTGTTTGTCGACCGGTCGCGTGAAGCTTCGATCGTCGTTTACGTTCAACGATACACGTTATTAGAAACAGCTCGTTCACAATGACGAATAATACATGTTAGTCGGTCTCGATCGGTGCTCTATACACGTGTAATAATCCCTAATAGAACATTATACCCGCCGTGTGGATTGATCATCAGCTTATCATCAACATCTTAGTCTTCTTCGGTAAACTCCGTTTTCTCGTTTTCTCTTTTTTATTAATTCTTCGATGCACTCTGTTCTCTTCTTTCGTTCCGTCCCTCCTCTATCTATCTTTCTTTCTTTCTTTCTTTCTTTCTTTCTTCCTTTCTTTCTTTCTTTTTTTT